AAAATACTGGCTAGAGTGGATCTGTTAATCTAAGCGTTACCCAGAAAGGACCTACTTAGTAAAATACTGGCTGGAATGGGTCGGCTAAACTAAGTTACCCGAAGTGGATCTGCTCAACAAACTACTGGTTGGATTGAATGCGTTGAGCTAAAAGTTACTCCATGAGGACCATTAAGGTTATTAATCATGTACTTCAGACAGACGGCACGGACAAAGGAAAACCGATCGGGTGACGACAACATGCTCCTTAAATAGTGTTAATAAAACACTACTTAAATTCTGCTATTGAAAATTTAAAAAAAAAAGCATTTCATTAAATCTTAATATCATCTTAAGTCATTCAGGAGAGACACCCTTTATATAATCTAAACAACGCTTTTATTAAATTCTACCATCTCTCGCGTATTCTTTTAAATTCGACGAGGTGGTTGAGTTTTGTTTTTCTTTCTAAATTCGATTATTACACACTTTAGAATAGCTGTCTGCATGTTTATCTATCCACCTCGCTATGTGCTACGATTTGTTTTTCTGAGTTATTCGATAGAGTTACCCGAAATGAGAAGTCTGAGAGAAATCTGAGTTAATCCAAGATCGAGAACATGAGATCGTTATTGGCTGAAGAGCAAACTTATTGTTAAGAAAGCGCTAACCACTGACATCAAAATTTAAATTGAGCTCGTGTTTCTTTATTTTGATAACCCCCCCCCCCTCCAGTGGCACAGCGGTATGTCTGCGGACTTACAACGCTAGAATTCGGGTTTCGATATCCATGGTGGGCAGAGCACAGATAGCCCATTGTGTAGCTTTGTGCATAACTTTAATCAATCAAAAAACTTTATTTTGATATATTAAATGGGCTTTAAAATAGGAACATTTTTTTCACGCCCCCACTGGCTCAGCGCTAAGTTTGAAGACTTATAACGCTAAAAAATCGAGGTTCGAAACCCGCAGTGGCAGAGAACATATAGCACAAATGTTTAGTTTCATGCTTAAAAACAAACAAAACAAGTTTTTACCATCAATATCTTCTAAAAAAAAACAACATCATGGAGATTAAATATATATATATATACATTAAAACCTACCTTATGGCGAAAGTAACACCTCAGTTCGTTGAAATAACATTTTAAAACATCGTGTTTAAAAATAGACTCGGGGATACCTGACAATACGAACTAAGAGTGCAGATTGCATTTTACAGATTTTTAAAATCTTTAGAATTTTGTTCCGGAACGATCTTAATATTATTCGATCAGTTTCTAGCTCAACATTGGGAAATGATAAACATTCCTTCAAAATTCGGATAAACTGTGGAATTTGACAATTCTAAACATCTGGTTCTTGAAATGCAGTTCAGGTATTTTGGAGACGCAAATAATTCGAAAACTCGAAACACAAAAATATTGTTTCCAGATAGATAGATAAGAAGGAAAAAAAAAAAGTTCGGTAACCTAATCAATATACAGTGGCTACACGATGTTAAGGTGTGTCTGGGGATAGTAACAAGACAGTTCTTCCTCTGCGTAAAAGCACTATTAAAGCACTATAAATTGGTTCTTTCAGCACCATAAATTGGTTCTTTCTCAGAAAATGATTATGTAAATAGTCACCCGCAAGTTTACCAAATACATCACAAGTCAAGAACGTCTTGGAATTTACGTTTTAAATTCGGTGTATATAAGTAGAGAACACGTGTAAGTTGTTTTTCACGTGCTCGTCTTCAGAGGTTCTGTTGTGGGAGCAAATGTTAAAGCTTCACGAAGTTTCTGCACCAGAAAGCAGGCTATTTCCGTTTGTTTCTTTCTGTTTCCGGTGATGGTAAAAAGTAAAGTCAATATTTACAGATAATTTGTGTGGTCATTTTATGTATTTTTGTTGAATAATTATGTTACAATTAAAAGTCTGTACTCGCGACTGTCATTTACTGACGCACACAAAAAAACAAATCAACGATTGTTTGTTTGAAGTTAAGCACAAAGCTACACAATGGGCTATCTGTGCTCTGCCCACCACGGGTATCGAAATCTGGATTCTAGCGTTGTAAGTCCGCAGACATACCGCTGTGCCACTGGGGGGCCTCTAAGAAGTGAGAGCTTGTATAGAATCAAATTAAAAACGTTCTCAATTTCACTCACCTCCCATTAAATGAACTTAATGTTTTTTGTTTTTAGTGAACCACTAGTTAAAATTTGTTTATAGGTCATTGAGTAGTGGAAACATATTAAAAGACTGGAAGTTCGTTAACGTTAGTTCAATATTTTATAGGAGATGATAAACATTGTTCAGGCAATTATAGGACGAATCTTTACAAACGTGATACAAAAGTAGTTATCCCAGGGTTTTTGTGGCACGTCACCAGAGGGGGCTACACCTGTGTTGACCTCAAGCAATAAGAGGAAGGGGTACAGACAATGATGTCACCTGAGATGATGATGTCATAGTTCCATGAAGTGTCACCAGATGGCGTTGGCGCCATGCAATGACGTCACCAGAGAGGGTATGTTGTTAGGCCACTATGACAGGCGGACATGACGTCACAGACAATTACGTCCATGAAGTGGATCAACACGTCTCAACATGGATAGATTTAATACAGTCAGTATAAAACACTAACTCATTAGTTCTATAGTTCCATAGCTGAAACGGCGAGCATGTTTGGTGGGACGAGAATTCGAACTCGCGACCCTCAGATTGCAAGTCAATCACTCTAACCAACTGGCACAAGGAATGGGGCAGAAGCTTTTATGTGCTAGCAAAACATATAATATTTGTTCAATATTCAATATCAAAATTATTAATCACACTTTTAAGGATTTACATTTTGAAGTTTCAGGGTTAAATAACAACTAATATCTAGTTTTATAACATAAAACTTTTCCATATTTCTATTGTTTTTCTAGATTAACTTTTAGTTAGTTTAATTAAAACATTATTTACACAAGAACTGATGCTTGAACAGACTGAATTTCTGCAGAGTGGTGACTGCAGTTCTGATGCTAACTGTCCTAACTAACTTATGTTCCTTGTATTTTTGATGACACTTAATGGAACAGGGAATGCAGTAGGTTGGACATCACTTACTCACAAGCAACTCATAGTCACATTCTTTACATAAGTAACTCTTTCTGCATTGTTTTTAAGCACGAGGCCATCAGCTCTCTGATCCAAAGTTAATGTTGAATGAGAATATTCATCTCCTTTTAAGTTTCCATAGGCCTCACTAGTAGCCTCGTTTCTTTTTAAACACTTACCTTTTGCATTTCTTCTTAGGGACTTACTAACTTTTTATGCTTCCTCGTGTCAGGTATAACTTTGAAATAAATAATCAGGTTAACTATGCACCAGAGTGTCGTCCAATCGCTTAGGCTGGAATATGTTTGCTTCTTTATAACCTAAACTCTAGCCTTCTTTCTTATAAACATAATGTCATAACTGGAACACATGTGAAATAAATATTGCAAGTTAATTCGAATTGATTAATACGAGACTCGTTCTATGTAATATTTGTAATATGTGTATACTGACTTTTAATGTTCTTGCTGGTATACGTACTAGTTTCAAGATAATAATTTCTAATCCTAAAAAGCTCTTCGTTTAAGACATGCATAGAACTTAATAAGCAATGAATTTACGTCTTGAGCTAAATTTTAACTGCATTTTATATAATTTTTGTTCTAAAGAATTTTTCACACACAGTAGAAGAAATTTTTTTATAGATATAGCAAAAATGTAAAAATGTAACCTAAGTGCTTAGAAACAGTAATTCAGACCTATATATTAAATTAGTTTCCCCGGGGTGTGGAAGAAAGCTTCGTCTAAACGATTTGTCCCTTGTTTGGTCAGTGGTAAGTTTACAGATTGATAAGGATAAACTCGAGGTTGGCTTCCCCTGGGTGAAAAGAGTGCAAATAGCCCATAGTGTAGCTAAACAATAATATGTAAACAAATAATGTTGATCTGTTTGTGGGCAGATATGTATTTAAATATGATAGCAGAATTACTTCATAGGGCATTATAATATGATGGTCAATCCCACTATTCGTTGGTGAAAGAGTAGCCCAAGAGTTGTCAGTGGAGGGTGATGACTAGCTGCCTTCCCTCTAGTTTTAAACTGCTAAATTAGGGACGGCTAGAGCAGATAGCCCTCGTATAGCTTTGCGCAAAATTTAAACCAAACCCATTCCTTGTTTTTCATGCAAATTTCCTCGAGTTGGTGACCTGTGTGAAAACGCCATTGACTGTATTCTTGCTACTTAAACAAATACTATTTATAGCAAGTAAATGTTTCCCAATTAGTGCCTTTTATGTACCAATTGTTGCATTTCTTTCAGAATATATGATGTTATTATTTTATTTGTTTGTTTGTTTTTTTTGAATTTCGTGCAAAGCTACACGAGAGCTATCTGCGCTAGCCCACCCCAGTATCCACAACTATTAGTCACCACCAGTACCTTAGTATCCACAACTATTAGTCACCACCAGTACCCCAGTATCAACAACTATTAGTCACCACCAGTACCCCAGTATCCACAGCTATTAGTTACTGTCAGTATTGCAGTACCTATAACTACTTTTTACCTTTAGTATCCATAGTTTTTACTTACTAACAGTGTCCTACTACCCACATCTTTTAGTTATTTTAGGTGCCAACAGTTATGAGCATCATAGTGCCTATAATTCGTTGTATTTAAACCATTTCTGTAACCTTGGTGTGCTAGTACTAATAGTTATCAGTTGCCCCGAGTTTCCTAGTATCCAAAAACTCTCTGTTTTCCTAATTTCCTTGCTTCTATAATCTTTGATTTATTCTAATACCTGAAATCCTGAAGCAACGTTAGCCTTCTAGTGTTCATTGTATTTTTTTTGCCTCGAGTACCTTAATTTCCACAATATTTGACTAATCTGTGATGGATACATGAAGAAGAAGGCCAAACACCTGCTAAAGAACAAGACTTGAAAGAATAGTACCAAGACAGTTTTATTTTATGAATAACATGTACCTCTGTTGCTGATAAATGGAAACTATCAACTGACACGTGGCCCGTCGAGATGTTACGCAGACACATGGGTTTCTCCTCTGAAGGATGCACCTTGTTTGATCTCTTTCCTTGTCCTTCGGCCTCTGAACTAAAAAAAAAGGAGGGAGGGGTGGAAAACATTACGAATAGAATGTTGTGAGAAAACATGGGATAGAAATGTAATAGGTTAATTAATAGGAAATTAGATTTACCATCTGTAACACCATTCTGATCTTTATTTTCAATGTGTACACGTGTGAAATTAGTATGCAGTGCCTCTATATTTTTAGAATTATTGTCTTTTTTTAACCACCATAATTTTTAACCTTTTCAAAGATTGCTCACAAATGCATAGTCAAGTTTTGTTGTTTGTTGAATTTTTTACAAAGCTACTCGAGGACTATCTACGCTTGCTGTCCCTAAGTTAGAAGTGATAGACTAGTGTGAAAGCAGCTAGTCAACATCGTTCACTGCCAACTCTTGGGCTACTCTTTCACCAACGAATAGTGGGATTGACCATCAAATTATAATGCCCCCATGGCTGAAAAGGGCAAGCATGTTCAATGATGAGATTCAGCCCCACAGATTGCGAGTCGAGAGCCCTAATTGCCAGGCCAGGCCATGCCAGCTCCACCCTCGGACGTAAAGTGGAATGGGGAGGAGGCTTGTTGAAGCTAGTCTTTGGGAATCATCATCAGGTTTCTAAATTGAATCTACTCAGTGATTAGCTTGTTTTGAATTTCGTACAAAGCTACTCGAGGGCTTTCTCCTCTAGCCATCCCAAATTTAGGAGCGATAGATAGAGGGAAGGCAGCTAATCAACACCACCTACTGACAACTCATGGGCTGTATTTTACCAACGAAAGTGGGATTTACCATCACATTACTACGTGACGGGACGGCCGAAAGTACAACATGAGTATTTTTATTCAAAGCTGGTTTTCTGGTTTGAAACTCTTCCTGAGATTAAATTATTATTTTTTTTCCATTAATATATGAAAATTATTAATCGAATGTATAACTTTTAAAGCTTCGAAATAAATATCAGTATTTTCTTCTATTCACCAGTAGTTGATTTTAGATATTCATTTTAAGGCTGGAATAAATATCGCTCGAGTGATTGTCTAACTATTTTATTCAAAAAATCGTTTCAGGAAGTTTGTTATAGAAAAGAGCTAGAGGAGTTCACAAATAAAATACTGGTGGTGAATAATAGCTGTGGATACTGGGGTACTGGTGGTGACTAATAGTTGTGGATACTGGTACTGGTGGTGACTAATAGTTGTGGCTACTAGGTACTGGTGGTGACTAATAGTTGTGGTTACTGGGGCACTGGTGGTGAATAATAGCTGTGGATACTGGGGTACTGGTGGTGAATAATAGCTGTGGATACTGGGGTACTGGTGGTGACTAATAGCTGTGGTTACTGGGGCACTGGTGATGAGGAATAGCTGTGGATACTAAGGTACTGGTGGTGACTAACAGTAGTGGATACAAATGAATTTAGGGAAACTAATAGTTATGGATACTGGAACACGATGTTTGGATATTAGATTTGGATATTAGAACACAATGTTTGGATATTAGATTTGGATATTAGAACACGATGTTTGGATATTAGATTTGGATATTAGAACACTATGTTTGGATATTAGAACACGATGTTTGGATATTAGATTTGGATATTAGAACACTATGTTTGGATATTAGAACACGATGTTTGGATATTAG